AACACGAAAGTTTTTGGCAGAGGTCCGATTGAGTTGGTCGTGTTGATCAAACACATGTCTTGTATAAGATGGGACATTCTGATTTGGGCCGGCTAAGTTAATGTGACTTGAGCCGGCTAAGTCAAGCTGTCTTGAGCCGGCTAAGTCAAGCTGACTTGTGCCGGTTAAGTCAAGCTGACTTGTGCCGGTTTAAAATTAAATCAAGCTGTCTTGAGCCGGCTAAAGTCAAGCTGACTTGTGCCGGCGAAGTTAATGTGACTTGTGCCGGCTAAGTCAAGCTGTCTTGTGCCGGCTAAGTCAAGCTGACTTGTGCCGGTTAAGTCAAGCTGACTTGTGCCGGTTAAACTCAAGCTGACTTGTTGCCGGCTAAACCAAGCTGATTTGTGCCGGCTAAACCAAGCTGACTTGTACCGGTTAAATCAAGCTGACTTGTGCCGGTTTAAGTCAAGCTGTCTTGTGCCGGTTAACTCAAGCTGACTTGTGCCGGCTAAACCAAGCTGATTTGTGCCGGTTAAGTCAAGCCGACTTGTGCCGGTTACATCAAGCTGACTTGTGCCGGCTAAACCAAGCTGATTTGTGCCGGCTATACCAAGCTGACTTGTGCCGGTTAAATCAAGCTGAATTCCGCTTGTTAAAACCAAACTGACTGGCTCCACCTACTGCCTGTCTAGTTGTAAAGTCACCATCAGCACAATTTCCACTTGCAAGCAGAGATTTGACGGTAGATGTGACTCCATTACCAGACCTCCCAACTACCAGAAGTTTGTAGAAATCTTTACTCATTTCATGAGATCTGTGGGAAACAATAAAAATAATTACCACTTTTACACCTAGAGGTCCAATAGGGTAGCTGAAGTAGAGTTTACATGTAGGAAATATAAGCCAGAGTTGTATGCGACATAAACTAACGCTCCTTGGGGCATATGAAGTGGAGTTAACCTGGTTCAGAGACCACGGTATGTATAGAGAGAATGCGGGTCAGGGCAATGCCCAGCCACGTTTACTTTCCCAAACGTGAGTTAAGTACCCATTTGAGCTGGGTGGACTCAAGGAAGTACCATGGATTTAACCCGAGACCCAAACTCCAGACTTTCGGGTTGTACGTCGTGCGCCTTACCATCAAATCATGCCATTGATATTACATAATGTAACACAATGAACTCGCTTGGTAACACAAACACGCAATAGGATTCACATACGCAGCAATATCGTTGGATTTGTAATAGAAATTAGGTGTATATAAACCAAAAATCTAAAAATCAAGAAAATTTCTTGGCTTAAAAAAAATATATTTTCATGCGATTTCCGAAATATCATAATGTATGTAAGGATTGTAAGGGCCAATAGTCTATATCTATCTGGACAATGTCGTGTAGGTAGATAAAAGTATGAGCAATAATACTAGATACAAGAATTAGATTCGATTTCACAAACATTACATCGATAACAACTCGCAACTCCCAGTAATAAAACCAGCTTAATTGACTATTAGTTAAACTAATAATAGCCAGTAGCCTTAGCCAGGGCACTGCTGTTTGGGGGGGGGGGGGGGGGGGGGGGGGGTGGATGGGTGGATGGGTAAAAAAATGTCTCTCTCTCTCTCTCTCTCTCTCTCTCTCTCTCTCTCTCTCTCTCTCTCTCTCTATATATATATATATATATATATATATATATATATATATATATATATATATATATATATATATATATATATATATATATATATTTATATTTATATTTATATTTATATTTATATTTATATTTATATATATATATGGGTGAGTGACTATGTGAGGGTTTATAACACTTTTTACCTTTCGCCACTGGTAATAGCTCTTAAATACAAGTATAGAAACGTTTCAAGTAGAAGCTGTTGTAGTTTTTATCCTACATAAAAATTTCATCAAGCATAAACGCTAAAAGTGAACCGCCCTAAACATAGTCTCTAAGAAAATCCCTTCTTCACTTAGCTCTGAATGTGCCGGCTTATCGCCGAGGTGAACACTATATGTTATTTTGTCAAGCACAAATAATCTACAACATAGCTTGTTTTAAGACAATCAACTTTAGCTTAAATGTTGTGTCGTCAAGCACAAATAATCTTTAAACAATAAACTTTACCTTAAGGTCCGTTGTGGTGTCAGTGTGTGTTGGTGTACAAGGAAGTTGTTACATTAAACCTTCCTGCTAGGACTAAACACAGTATAGCCGTTATAACTTTTTACAGTCTGGTATAACGTGGTCACATCTGACTTCTTCATAGATCCGTGACACATCGGATACTTACCTATATATATATATATATATATATATATATATATATATATATATATATATATATATATATATATATATATATATATATATATATATATATATATATATATATATGTATTTTGTATATATATATATATATATATATATATATATATATATATATATTATATATATATATATATAAATATTTATTATTTATTTATATATATATATATATATATATATATATATATATATATATATATATATATATATATATATATATATATATTATATATATATAAATATTTATTATTTATATATATATATATATATATATATATATATATATATATATATATATATATATATATATATATATATATATATATTTAAGTATATCTATTTAAATATAGGTACAGGGTACTGGTAATGGTACAGACATAGACGTAGATGTATGCAGGCACATAGATATAGACACAGACAGACACAGATATCACGAAATCACACAAAGTAATTTTAAAATTAAGTTTATTTAAAACACGACCAAATGCGTTTCCTACTTCATTTTATCAAACAATGGCCACAATAATAAACGTGGTAGTTACATTTGTAGTTAAAAAAAGTGCATTACTTTAGCAAGTGTTGATCGCGACAGCTGTATGACATCGAATGGTTGTTCTATCCAAACATTTGACTTATCTAGTGATCAACAGAAAATTCTTGATACAATTATTACAAAAAACAAAACACTTATTTAAACATTACTGTTTTATAAAGTAAATTTATTTTTCAGAATGAAAAATAGGGTGAGTTCACAAAATATGAAAATAAAATAAGGTTAAAATGATTTGATTAAAAAAATATCATATTATCTGTAATGACATAGGTTGTGATTAAAGTAAAGCGCTAAATAATAGGTTAGGTTTAATGTTTTGTTACTTTTGAAAAGAGTAAGTTTTAACCTAATAAGCAAAAAATGCATGTGATAATATAATGGTTCTTCGAATAATTGTAGAATACATAAATACAATAAACATACATAGGTTATATATATATATATATATATATATATATATATATATATATATATATATATATATATAAAACATACATATATATTCATATACAAGAAGTGTATTTATATATTTATATAGAATTGTAGAATACATAAATACAATATACATACATAGGTTATATATATATATATAGATATATTTGTACCCCCCCCCCTCAAACTTTCGATTTGCACCTCCCCCTCAAACTTTCGATTTGCACCCCCCCCCCTCTAGTTTTTCTCTTTATATTTTGCTATTTTTTGCATTGGTGTCATCCCCCTAAATTGTGTCACCCGGTGCGGTCCGCACCCCCACCCCCCACCATCTCGCTACGTTTCTGCATTATATATATATATATATATATATATATATATATATATATATATATATATATATATATATATATATATATATATATATTTAAGGATGACAACAGTGGAATAAATGTTTTAAAAATCTATAAGTTCCGACAAAATAAACTATTTGATAATAACACTTCGTAACTCAACATATCAAATGCAATTACTGACAGTTTGTACTTTTATCTGTAAAGTTTATACACAACATGATTTTAATTAATGTGCTTAACTAATGTATAAGGTAACAACATATTACATAATCGCTGTACTATTGCATAGCAGAAGAGACGGATGGTAGAAATGCGTGAGAATTTAAAATACAGGATGGGATTTTTAGATTTCCGGTAGAGGAGGGTAGCTTTTTGAAATGTATAGACTGTAAGTATTGCGTGTTATTTTATGACACGTCTACAGTGAACAGTGACATTTCATGACGCTATAAACAGATGATGACGTAAAAAAATTATGACAGCGTAAATGAAAGCCCATTGATTAAAACAACAATTATTCTACTTAACAATTTGCAATATGTTTTATGTTCTAAACAAGTTTTTGATCATTTTATTTGCTAGTTTAAAAAAAGAATAAATTTGATATGATTTTATAGACTTGACACATCACAATTAACAATACAACAATTAATATTTACAATAACATTAACATATCTTAGATGACAGCTCACTCCCACTAAATCAAGACATATTTGATCGACTACAATAGGAAAAAAAATCATGACCCAAATTGCGACCAAATACAACAAAGTAATTTTTGTGCACTTTGATAGACTAGTGGTTATGTAAAAAAAAATTAAAAAAAACAACAAACCCAGATATACTAAAGCAGTGATTATTATTCTACAGTTACTAACACACACTCAGTTTCTTCCGGGCATGTGTTAGGGGAGGCGGAACGAAATAAAATTCGTATTGAAATTATCAGTGTCCCCAACCCCAGAAATTTTAGTTCGTACCCCCCTCACGAAAATTTCAAGTGCCCCCCCCCCCCCCCCCAACCCACCCCATCTGAAGAGAAAAGTCTGGAAGAAGCACTGCACACACTGTTTCATACACATAAAACTTCTTCCATGACTTTTCGCTCCTCTTTAAATAGTCGAATAAGGTTACCGAAAATGCTCATTTAAATAACTTTGTACTAAGCAAATTAAAAACCAATTGCTTCTCTGAATTAGTTTAAAAATAAAGCATAGCAACAAATAACAAAGCTATAAAAAGAAATGCATTAAAAATTATTAATATAAATTCGAAAAAAAAATAAGAATAAAACAAACATGGGAAACCATAACACTTATAAAACTCCGTGTAATACTTTTGATCGGCTTGCCCGTAAGAAGTTACTCTTTTCACAAATTTTCGGCGGGTTAAAATCAGATATTGAAAATAAAAGAATTTGTAAAAAGGTTTAAATTAGATATAAACATTTTTAAAACACGATTATTTGAGACCAAAAGGAGAGCATATTAGATCCGCTCCTTTGTTGTTTTTTTTTTGTACTTTCTCGTACACAGAGTACAGAGGAAATATTGTAATCGTGCACAAAAATCACATGAAATTTTGACAATTTCCAGTTTTACACCTCAGTACTTTATAATATTACGGAGTATAGGGGACTTATTTTAATCGGGCTAAAATTGTAAATCCAGATTTATCGAAATCTCGTCGTTTTACGCGACACTGAGTGGGGAGAACTGGATTTTGCAATTAAGGCGTTCAATAATAAAAATAGAGTGAGTATACATAGTTGAGTAGCAAAAACTGGCGAGAGCTAAATAAATAGAAAGATCAAGTATCCCTATAAAAATACACAAAAACAATTCGCCATGCCATGCATATCAGGAGAAAAATGTTGTGGTATCAATAGTATTTATCCCACTAAACAGCTCTATGTTGTATCGATAAGAATAGTCCCACAAAATAAATTAAAAAATATCAACACCTTACAGTCCCACCAAAATAAAATGGTCCCCTACACTTGCAATTCGATCGACGTATTAAAACAGTCACTGTCAATCAAAATTTCTTAAACTGATGCCACTCGTAGTCCTAATTAATTGACCCAAACAAGAAAATTCCATTCTCCAAACCAGGTTGTCAAAAATATAATTATGAGATTTTGTCCCATTAAATATCCAAATACTAATTAAGGGCTATTATTAATCTAAAAAACACAACCCTCAACATAATTCACGTTTTATGTTGCTATAATCGCCTTCACTAATCCAAAACTATATTAGTATTCCTAATTTATTGTAACTAATACTTACAGTCTTACACAACGTTATGACATCAAACAGTTTATCAAATAAAAATCTTCACAAATAGCTAAACATGCACCTACACATTTCATCCCAATATTTTTTTTAATCTTTAAATTTTTAAAAGAGAAATGACCATGTTTGATCAAGGTGGTTACAGAATGTAGCTATCGAAGTTACATTGACAAAAAAGTTACATAGACAAAAAAAAAACGTTTTTCAAATGATATTGTAGAGTCGTAGAACAAGTAATTCTATAATCACGCAAACCGCTACCAAAACGGGATAAAATATCCAAAAATAATAATCGTAGTTAGTACACTTCCTAATGTGTGTACGCTGGGTTCTTTCACCAAGAAGGGAAGTATTGTCATCTGTATCTTCCTCATCACTGATATCCACTGAAGTCTGCAGTTCTGATTTATTTTTTTGTTGAACTGTTTCAACATGACGGAGCAGCTCATCGCTCTGTTGCTGTTGTTGAGCTAGGTTAGATGTTTTGTTGTTGAACAATACGATACGCTTCTCGCAATCTTGCAACAAATCACAGAACGCACCGCTTTGAGATTCGTACCATTTTTTGAAAGCATCAGGATTATTTTCGTCATTGTCAACTTCAAAGTTATCCCCGTGAGTCAGCACAATTATTCCCCTTTGTCTAAAAATAGTTTCACCGAAACGTTTTTTAACTATTGCCACGGAGTCATGTTCCTGTTTTGTGAAGCGTACCCCATACTTCAGCACAAAGATTAGAGCCACGAACCCTGAAGTGTCTTCATTCATTTGCTTGATGCGTGCTTCTAACAATGTATTTAACACTACCTGGTCTGCTTTGGGCTCTGCAAGACCATACCCATCAACAGCGGTAACAGAGCCATTTGTACGTATTTGGAAGCCTGACTTTTCAGAAGCGCAAAGTTTTCTTACAATGGCACTTTCGTCTACTTGACCTTTCGCACCTTCTCCTAGATCTTCCGCGTCCTCATTTTTTTGAACTTCTACAACCACTTCTCCTAGGCCTTTCGCATCATCTTTTTCTTGAACTTTTACAACCTCTTCTACTAGATCTTTCGTAAGTTCTACTCCTTGATCTTCCATAACGTCTTCTCCTTGACCCCCGGTAGCCCCTGCTGCTTGATTGCCTGTACCGTCCCCATCGCCGTTGTCAACCCCAGCTCTGCTACCCCTGGCATTCAGGCCTTTAAACATAGCGTCTATGGTCGAGGTTATCCCATTACCAGATCTCCCTACAAACAAGAGAACTTTTGAATCCGTCATTTTCTGAAACCTGTGTGCGAAAATGAAACAACAATTAAATTTAATATTAGTTATAATAAAGCTTAATAACGACTTAATTCTCTTAATTCACCTGCGTTCTTATATATATATATATACATATATATACATATATATATATATATATATATATATATATATACATATATATATATATATGTATATATATATATATATATATATATATACATATACATATATATATATATATACATATATATATATATATATATATATATATATATATATATATATATATATATATATATATATATATATATATATATAATATATATATATATATATATATATATATATATATCCCACCCCTGGAGCATGTCCAACGCCCATGACTTAGATAAAATAGAAATAATATATTTTAAATATAAATGAAATACACTTTAACTAATGTCCACTACCCTGTAACATGTGCCCCTTACCTTTAACAGGTGCCCCTCCCCTTTAACATGTGCCCCTCCCCTTTAACAGGTGCCCCTCCCCTTTAACATGTGCCCCTCCCCGGATGTATCAAGAGCATCCCCACCCCCGGTAAAAAATATCTGTAAGAAACCAGGCATTTAGCTCACATTACCAGAAATGGGCCACATTAGTTCCAATCTAAACACTATTTATGTAATTCATTTACTTCCTGCATATTTTTGTTTTTGTTTTTTCAGAACTAAACATCCCACGACAAAAAATCTCCGATAAAATAATCGAATGGATCACGGTCAATGTAATCGATTCTTAAATGCTAATGAACCAGGAAAGTATTAAAATAGTAACATGTTATACATCCTTATAGGCTAATATAACAAGTATTACATCGTAATTACAATGATAAATAATTTTTGGTATTTGTTAGACACCCACTAGCAGTGGCGTCACAATGTGTGTGAAGGGGGAGGGGGGGGGGTGAGGGGGGGGGGAGAGAAAGGGGGGGACGAGGGCGTGGTGTGCGGATCGCACAGGGTAACACCCAACCAAGTGACGCCTCTGTCTACGCGTGCCACACTACACCAGTTAGGAATTTTTTTCATAGCGTGAGGTTTAAGGATAAATTTAAACGAACTATACATACATAGCATAGATCAGGGGTCTCCAAACTTTTCAGTCCGAGGGCCGCATTAAATATCAAAATTCAGTTCGGGGGCCAGTTTCTTCCAGGCATGTCTTTGATTTTTCTGGGCAAAGTTGCTCAGCCATCACCAACAAACGTTTTTTTCTGTAGACAAAAAGATCTCCGCGGGCCGGATGAGAGGACCTCGCGGGCCGCATCCGGCCCGCGGGCCGTAGTTTGGAGACCCCTGGCATAGATGACCAGGTCGAAAAAGTGAAATCTAACCGGAAATTCTCATATCGGATCCCTGTGCCCCCCCCCCCACTCAGCATTAATGGGCAGCTGACCTACGATAGGGAAAGTAAAGGCTGCTCACCCTTACTATCCTTCATATAATATCCCTTTATATGCCCGAGGTGACAGAAACAGGTGTACTCTACTTCATCTGCTCCTGGACAGTGAGATCCGAAATGATAACTTTGTTATATAACAATAGTTCATGATTAAATAATGTTAAGAAAACAATATTTACAGTTATAAATTCTCACATTTTCTTATCATCATGATAGCCCAATTTTTTGACATTAAAGGTAAAATCCCTCGCTGCAAATACTATTACAACAATACTGTTTTACGAGAGGATAGGCCTACACATTACAGGCATTTCACATTAAGTTACAATGCACATTTTTATATAACAAAAAAAATATATTGTAACGCTTTTCCTTATGTCCCTTATATCATTATAATCCTATAACATTTTCATAAAACCAACACAACCTATAACATATCTTAAAGAACCACGGGGTTTTCTAAAGACATTTTTCTCCAGAGGGGGTGGCACTTTAAACATACGTATTGTAAACCACCATTTAATATTTAGTTTCATGTAACAGATCTATTGTCCTACTTCTGCTATCAACACTTAACCAATCCGTTGAGGACTACCGCTAAAGGAACGCTAGGCAAAACATGACAACAAGCACGAACTGGCCCTAGATCTAGATCTAGTTACTTTCATTTTTAAAGAACCGCCTGCTAAGTTTATTTATCTATTAATACTAATAGTTTCGCTGTCTGACAAGAACGCTCTGTCTGACAAGAACGCTCTGTCTGACAAGAACGCTCTAGAGAAAACACAAGGAAAATAAAAACATGCACAGTAATTCGAAAAACGAAATATGACGTCGACACATTTAGCGTAGAGTAGAACATAATCTCAAACCAGAGAGTGCACACAGTAATATGACGTCATTGATTATCGCGTAAACATTGAAAAAAAGGAAATGTTTTGCGTGAAGAGTTTCTTGCATACAATTCTTCGGGTAGGGGCGAAGCCCCACCCCCCGCGTAAGAACGTCTGAGCCCCCCCCCCCCCCCTCCACAACTCAAAAGAAATTTCCTCATCGATACTCTATAATAAAATTACCGCCTAATTAATGTGTCTAATCTAAAAAGTGGTTTTCTTGCAATGGGACGGTAGACATGTTTTTTTTTTTTGGGGGGGGGGGGGGGGTGGAGGGGTGGGGTGTGTGTGTGGGGGGTGGTGTGGGTGGGGTGGGGTGGGGGTGGGGGGTGGGGTGGTGTGGGTGGGGTGGGGGGGTGGGGGGTGGGGGATGGGGGTGGTGTGTGTGGGGGGGTGGGTTGGTTTCAGTGTTTCTTTCAGACTTTTTCCTCCCCGGAGAGGGGTGGGGGGTACTTGAAATTTTCGGGGGCGGGGGTAGAATTTTCTGGGAGGGGGCGGAGACTGGAAAAAGTATATAATTATATTTCGTTGAATGGGACGGTAGACATGTTTTTTTTGGGGGTGGGGGGTGGTGGAGGGGTGGTGTGTGGGGGTGGGGGGTGGTGTGTGGGGGGGGTGGTGTGTGTGGGGGAGGTGTGGGGGGTGGTGTGTGTGGGGGGGTGGGGGTGGGGGGTGGTGTGTGGGGGTGGGTGGGTGGGGGGTGGTGTGTGGGGGGGTGGTGTGTGGGGGGGTGGTGTGTGGGGGGTGGGGGGTGGTGTGTGGGGGGTGGGTTGGTTTCAGTGTTTCTTTCAGACTTTTTCCTCCCCGGAGAGGGGTGGGGGGTACTTGAAATTTTCGGGGGCGGGGGTAGAATTTTCTGGGAGGGGGCGGAGACTGGAAAAAGTATATAATTATATTTCGTTGAATGGGACGGTAGACATGTTTTTTTTGGGGGTGGGGGGTGGTGGAGGGGTGGTGTGTGGGGGTGGGGGGTGGTGTGTGGGGGGGGTGGTGTGTGTGGGGGAGGTGTGGGGGGTGGTGTGTGTGGGGGGGTGGGGGTGGGGGGGTGGTGTGTGGGGGTGGGTGGGTGGGGGGTGGTGTGTGGGGGGGTGGTGTGTGGGGGGGTGGTGTGTGGGGGGTGGGGGGTGGTGTGTGGGGGGTGGGTTGGTTTCAGTGTTTCTTTCAGACTTTTTCCTCCCCGGAGAGGGGTGGGGGTACTTGAAATTTTCGGGGGCGGGGGTAGAATTTTCTGGGAGGGGGCGGACACTGGAAAAAGTATATAATTATATTTCGTTGAATGGGACGGTAGACATGTTTTTTTTGGGGGGGTGGGGGGTGGGGGGGCGGTGTGTGGAGGGGGTTGTGTGTGGGGGTGAGGGGTGGGGGGTGGGGGGTGGTGTGTGGTGGGGGGTGGGGGTGGTGTGTGGTGGGGGGTGGGGGTGGGGGTGGTGGGGGGTGGGGGTGGGGGTGGTGTGTGGGGGTGGGGTGGGGGTGGTGTGTGGGGGGGGGGTGGGTTGGTTTTAGTTTAGAGAAAAGAGACAGCACTATCAGCCTAGCGCCCGTTGTACCCTTCCTCAACGGGCCATTTATCTAGTATTTTAATATTTATCGACATGACAATGGAATATCTTAACACTGACCTGTAATTAAAGGAACATAGGCTTCGTAATCGACGTGAGTTCCAAAAAAGGCCGAGTGTACACACAAACACACAGCTACACACTCGTCATGTGCCAGCGCGTGACTGTTCCAATTATTATTTTCGAGGAAACTGGGTCACGTAATACAAATCGGGAAGACCTCAAGAGCTATTTTTAACTTCAACCGGTGTAAAAGAAAAATAATGCTATGATATTTTATACAAGCTGTAAGTGTCTAGTGAAAAGAGATGGTTTTTTTTTATTTTCTAGGTCAGTTCTTAAAAAGATATTAATATTATTATGTTAGTAAATCTCTTTTTTTATTATTTTAATACAGCTTTAAAAGTTAAGAAGACATTTGTTTTCTAAAATCAAAACTTTAATTATAAAATGATATTTATAAATAATAAAAGCTAATAGCTTTTTATTGAATACATCAATGTGCAGCTCATTGGATTTACTTATTATTTAAAACTTAATTATTAACAATTTAAACGGATGATTCAGTGTATTGTCCAACTAATAAGAATGCTTTTTAAAATTTATGAATTACACCGTGCGACTGTTTTCTTATAAAACTTGCTGAAGCAAATCAATAAATATCTTCGCAACATGTTGCATTTTTTTTTATTAAGTGGAGGGGGGTGTACAGATTTGATATTTTTGCCTGTATATCAGTGGCGTAGCCAGGATCGTCTCAAGGGGGGGGGGGGGTTCCAATTTTTACCCGGGGACAAACTTTCGATTTGCACCCCCCCCCCCTCAAACTTTCGATTTGCACCCCCCCTCAAACTTTCGATTTGCACCCCCCCCCTCAAACTTTCGATTTGCACCCCCCTCATACTTTTTATATATACCGAGGGGTCTATGGGGGGGGGGGGTTATGACCCCCCCTAACCCCCCCCCCCCCCTTGCCTACGCCACTGCTGTATATGAAGAATCAATGTTTAATTTTTTAAAGGGTCGGCCATAAATGACGTCACACTTGTAAAAGGGAGGGGAGTGGGTCGTAATTTTGTGACGGTGTGTGATAAGGTGGGGAAGGGAGGGGGTGGGGGGGGGGGGGGTGTCAGATGGTGTGACGTCACAATTTTGCATTATAAAAAATCAATGTTAGAAAAAAAAATTTTAGCCGCTCTCTCGCGTTTTAGAAAACTGTTTTAATAAATTGTAATAGGAACTGATTAAAATACTCTAGGTTGACAGAGTTCAGACAAGATTATGGAAAAAAATCGATGTTTTAAGAAAAATTCAACTACAATTTTCTGGGGGGGGGGGGGGTTGTAGGTTGAGGTGTGTCGTCGTTTTAGAGGGCGTATCTGGCTTTTGTGACGATATGTGATGGAAGTGATTTGGGGGGGGGGGGGGGTAAAAAATCGTCGAAAAATGTTTGACGTCATTTATGGAAGACCCCAAAGGGAACAATATGCAATGCAGTGCAACAAAATCTTTTATTTAACCTGTACAAGTTGGATATGGATGGCGTGGTCGGGCCACTGAGACCACCCATACCTACACATTTACCAAAAAGAATATCACAAACTTTTGTAAATGTGTGGGTATGTTTCCACCAATAGGCTTTATACACAACATTCACACTTACTACTTTATTGACTAGATCAGGGGTCTCCAAACTACGGCCCGCGGGTCGGATGCGGCCCGCGAGGTCCTCTCATCCGGACCGCGGATATCTTTTTTGTCCACAGAAAAAACGTTTGTTGGTGATGACTGAGGAACTTAGCCCAGAAAAATCAAAGACATGCCTGGAAGAAACTGGCCCCCGAAATAAAATTTGATAGTTAATGCGGCCCTCGGACTGAAAAGTTTGGAGACCCCTGGACTAGATTGTAAAGGGTAGGAACGGTGCATCCCACTGTTGTATTGTTATATGGGGTAGGATGTTGGTATAAAGACTATGTAAAAACTGTCTTTGATTTTTGTTTCTTCAAACATTTACTTTTGACTAGTTGGTAACTAGGTTGTTATTGATTTGAATAAAAGAATAAAATATAAGAATTTACATTAGAACTGTTTTAAATGAAGGCGAAGCAACTATATGCATGTTTTTCTAAAATAATATGATTTTCTTTTTCTTTTCTTTGAAAGTCAAAGGGGAGTTTGTTAATAGATGTCATGTAATATAAAGAGAGGTGCGGTCTATATAGTTTAAGTGGTGGGAGTTGGTTAATAGATGTCATGTAATATAAAGAGAGGTGCGGGCTATATAGTTTAAGTGGTTGGAGTTGGTTAATAGATGTCATGTAATATAAAGAGAGGTGCAGTCTATATAGTTTTAATGGTGGGAGTTGGTTAATAGATATCATGTAATATAAAGAGAGGTGCGGTCTATATAGTGGTGGGAACGGGTTAATAGATGTCATGTAATATAAAGAGAGGTGCGGTCTATATAGTTTTAGTGGTGGGAGTTTGTTAATAGATATCATGTAATATAAAGAGAGGTGCGGTCTATATAGTTTAAGTGGTGGGAGTTGGTTAATAGATGTCATGTAATATAAAGAGAGGTGCGGTCTATATAGTTTAAGTGGTTGGAGTTGGTTAATAGATGTCATGTAATATAAAGAGAGGTGCGGTCTATATAGTTTTAATGGTGGGAGTTGGTTAATAGATATCATGTAATATAAAGAGAGGTGCGGTCTATATAGTGGTGGGAGCAGGTTAATAGATGTCATGTAAAGTAAAGAGAGGTGCGGTCTACATATAAAGTTGCTGTGTCATGTAACACAATCAAAAGTAAGAATCTCCATACACATAATATGTGCATTAACCCTACAAAAGTGAAACTGATTTTCTGTTTTATGTAAATACCGCCAGATCCCGCAATATGTGTGTGGAAGGTTGGGGGGGGGGGGATGGGCAGGTCTTTTAGAGGATAACATGTTTTTTAAAATATAATTTAAAAAATGTTATTTAAATGTATTTCTGATTTGATGGTTGTTTTGTCAAATAATACTGTAACTGCCGTTGGATCATCTTTATTCTGTAAACACTATCCTACGCTATTGTGTATCCTTTTTTTCCTCTTAAGTTTAAACCATTGTAATGGCCGAGTTCTCTTTCTTCTACAATCTATCAAACTCTGTCTATTCCGAAGAAAGTCTACCCCCCGAAAATTTCAAGTGCCCCCCCCCCCCGGAGAAAAAAGTCTGGAAGAAACACTGCCTCCAAAATTCTTTGAAACACTCAAAGTCCATTGAGCGAGAGGCCGCTAGATAATATGTAAACATCTTGGTGCTTGTTTAAAGCGATGATTAGTGACCCAATATGACGTATACATTTTTCAATGTGAAATGTGTGTGTTGTATTAGTAGAACGACTAATCAGTGCTATCATGTGTTCTAAAAATAATGAAAAATAATAAAGTAACAATTAATTCGCCTATATATATATATATATATATATATATATATATATATATATATATATATATATATATATATATATATATATATATATATATATATATATATATATATATATATGTATATATATATATATAAATATGTATATATATATATATATATATATATATATATATATATATATATATATATATATATATATATATATATATGTTTACCTATTTTAGCTTAAACAAGAAACGTGATAATATACTTGTATAATTTAGATTCTTTTTTTTAGTAAGTTTTAGAACAGACTTTAGGAAAAATAACTGAGAACATCCCAAATTAGGCACTATAGGTTAAACGTACATCGGCGCTTTATTTTCGTTATTTTCCATTATTGTCATCATTTATAGTTGAATTAAAATGGTATAAGCAGTTCTGTGACATGGTCATCTGCAGGTTAACTGTTGGTTCTAAGTCTAGTTTCACCTGCATTGACAGATCAACATGGACTAACTGAATAGCAATCAAAAATTAATAAAATAAAACAAATATAAGAAACAATGTTAAAACTAATTTTCATTTTTTTCATGAAATCTTTGGTCGCTAAAATGTACAAAAGATGTTATGAGCGTCCAAAGCTTTTATGAAAGAAAGCAAATTGTTTCATTTTGTTAATTTCAGTGCATTTGAAACCTTGTTGCTAGAAAGTTTTTTAAATATTAGTTTTATTTTCTTCTTTTAAAAAATTCCTAATGAGTATATTCGACACTAGGCTTCGATTCAAATATTTGCTTTAAAACACCATCAGTAGCTCGCAATATCTAAAAGACAATTTTCTACCCTTTCGCAGCATCCGTTGCCACCTTTCACAGACGACAGCAAGCTGATCATACTATCTCTAGTTCTTAATCTTTTTACCTTCCCTTAGTTTCAAAATCATTTACAAACTAAATTTCTCTCTGCCTAATAGCTTTTACTAACTCCACTTTACTCCTCAGGCGGCAGAGGAAACCACAGGTTACACGTGCGCCTGATTGGCTGTATGGTGTTTGTTATGAGTTTTTTTTCGGTGCGAATGATTGTTGGTGTGAACGATATAATGATGCATGGAATGATGACGCGGATGAAAGATAGCCAAGTTTTGTGTATCGTCATTGTTGCTGTGGAATGCAAGTTAGGGAGTTCGGTCTAAGAAGTGAATGTAAGAGCTACTCCGTGAGATGTCAACAATAATTCTAACGAGCCGACCCGCGGCATATCATACGCCGCTATTTAGTTGTTGTTTTTTCTACTTTTCAGTAATTCATAATTTTTGAATTCGACAGTACCAACGCTGCCACTGAAAATATTTCTTTAAAACACTATAAGTATCTCGTTAAGGACGATACCCCACCCCCTCCTACCCCCTACGTTTAAAATCGTTTCAAACTAAATTATCTGCCCCTAATAGTCGTCACTAAACCCGGCTCTGTTTATAAACATTTAGAGTGAACAGCTCACCAGACAATGTAGGGGTGGGGGTGGTAGTGAGCGCGTTTACAGCTTGTTTTCTAGCGTCTCCCAGAAGGAATTATATATATAGATTGTATACTTCTTGTTCTTCTTCTTCTTCGTTATTGATTTTAGTGTTGGAAACGATTCACTTCAACACAATTAAGTACACTTGAAACCCTCACATAGAAACTCACAAGGGTCTGGTAGTGGAACCCTCACATAGAAACTCACAAGGGTCTGGTAGTGGAACCCTCACATAGAAACTCACAAGGTCTGGTAGTGGAACCCTCACATAGAAACTCACAAGGGTCTGGTAGTGGAGCCCTCACATAGAAACTCACAAGGGTCTGGTAGTGGAGCCCTCACATAAAAACTCACAAGGGTCTGGTAGTGGAACCCTCACATAGAAACTCACAAGGGTCTGGTAGTGGAGCCCTCACATAAAAACTCACAAGGGTCTGGTAGTGGAACCCTCACATAGAAGCTCACAAGGGTCTGGTAGTGGAATCCTCACATAGAAACTCACAAGGGTCTGGTAGTGGAACCCTCACATAGAAACTCACAAGGGTCTGGTAGTGGAACCCTCACATAGAAACTCACAAGGGTCTGGTAGTGGAGCCCTCACATAAAAACTCACAAGGGTCTGGTAGTGGAACCCTCACATAGAAACTCACAAGGGTCTGGTAGTGGAACCCTCACATAGAAACTCACAAGGGTCTGGTAGTGGAACCCTCACATAGAAACTCACAAGGGTCTGGTAGTGGAACCCACACATAGAAACTCACAAGGGTCTGGTAGTGGAACCCTCACAGATGTTCAGACGAGTGATTTTTCAAATTGCAGTACACAATAACAACAGCACAACACATAGGTAGGGTTAATTAAACACATGTAAGATTTGTTTATTTATGTTTACCCAACCGTAAATGTAAGATCAAAGGATTATAAAACCTGAGCAAGCCAATACACACGTTAATGACACTAGTATTAAACTAAATATAAATATTGTTAATACACAGTTCAAGACATTTATTTATATTTACTAGGTATTTATAAATAAGTAATGTATAACAATTCTAAATCATCTATTAACACAACTATCAAACTTCTCACTTAAACATAAAGCGAAAGACTGGATATCAGATAAGTATAATGACATCAGTTTAACATGTACAGGGGCTTCAGGCCAACAGTAATACGACATCAGTCTGACAGGTACATGGGCTACAGTCAGACATTAATACGACATCAGTCTGACAGGTACATGGGCTACAGTCCGACATTAATACGACATCAGTCTGACAGGTACATGGGCTACAGTCCGACATTAATACGACATCAGTCTGACAGGTACATGGGCTACAGTCCGACATTAATACGACATCAGTCTGACAGGTACATGGGCTACAGTCAGACATTAATACGACATCAGTCTGACAGGTACATGGGCTACAGTCCGACATTAATACGACATCAGTCTGACAGGTACATGGGCTACAGTCCGACATTAATACGACATCAGTCTGACAGGTACATGGGCTACAGTCAGACATTAATACGACATCAGTCTGACAGGTACATGGGCTACAGTCCGACATTAATACGACATCAGTCTGACAGGTACATGGGCTACAGTCCGACATTAATACGACATCAGTCTGACAGGTACATGGGCTACAGTCCGACATTAATACGACATCAGTCTGACAGGTACATGGGCTACAGTCCGACATTAATACGACATCAGTCTGACAGGTACATGGGCTACAGTCCGACATTAATACGACATCAGTCTGACAGGTACATGGGCTACAGTCCGACATTAATACGACATCAGTCTGACAGGTACATGGGCTACAGTCCGACATTAATACGACATCAGTCTGACAGGTACATGGGCTACAGTCAGACATTAATACGACATCGGTCTGACAGGTACATGGGCTACAGTCCGACATTAATACGACATCAGTCTGACAGGTACATGGGCTACAGTCCGACATTAATACGACATCAGTCTGACAGGTACATGGGCTACAGTCCGACATTAATACGACATCAGTCTGACAGGTACATGGGCTACAGTCCGACATTAATACGACATCAGTCTGACAGGTACATGGGCTACAGTCCGACATTAATACGACATCAGTCTGACAGGTACATGGGCTACAGTCCGACATTAATACGACATCAGTCTGACAGGTACATGGGCTACAGTCCGACATTAATACGACATCAGTCTGACAGGTACATGGGCTACAGTCCGACATTAATACGACATCAGTCTGACAGGTACATGGGCTACAGTCCGACATTAATACGACATCAGTCTGACAGGTACATGGGCTACAGTCCGACATTAATACGACATCAGTCTGACAGGTACATGGGCTACAGTCCGACATTAATACGACATCAGTCTGACAGGTACATGGGCTACAGTCCGACATTAATACGACATCAGTCTGACAGGTACATGGGCTACAGTCAGACATTAATACGACATCAGTCTGACAGGTACATGGGCTACAGTCCGACATTAATACGACATCAGTCTGACAGGTACATGGGCTACAGTCCGACATTAATACGACATCAGTCTGACAGGTACATGGGCTACAGTCCGACATTAATACGACATCAGTCTGACAGGTACATGGGCTACAGTCCGACATTAATACGACATCAGTCTGACAGGTACATGGGCTACAGTCCGACATTAATACGACATCAGTCTGACAGGTACATGGGCTACAGTCCGACATTAATACGACATCAGTCTGACAGGTACATGGGCTACAGTCCGACATTAATACGACATCAGTCTGACAGGTACATGGGCTACAGTCCGACATTAATACGACATCAGTCTGACAGGTACATGGGCTACAGTCCGACATTAATACGACATCAGTCTGACAGGTACATGGGCTACAGTCCGACATTAATACGACATCAGTCTGACAGGTACATGGGCTACAGTCCGACATTAATACGACATCAGTCTGACAGGTACATGGGCTACAGTCCGACATTAATACGACATCAGTCTGACAGGTACATGGGCTACAGTCCGACATTAATACGACATCAGTCTGACAGGTACATGGGCTACAGTCCGACATTAATACGACATCAGTCTGACAGGTACATGGGCTACAGTCCGACATTAATACGACATCAGTCTGACAGGTACATGGGCTACAGTCCGACATTAATACGACATCAGTCTGACAGGTACATGGGCTACAGTCAGACATTAATACGACATCAGTCTGACAGGTACATGGGCTACAGTCCGACATTAATACGACATCAGTCTGACAGGTACATGGGCTACAGTCCGACATTAATACGACATCAGTCTGACAGGTACATGGGCTACAGTCCGACATTAATACGACATCAGTCTGACAGGTACATGGGCTACAGTCCGACATTAATACGACATCAGTCTGACAGGTACATGGGCTACAGTCCGACATTAATACGACATCAGTCTGACAGGTACATGGGCTACAGTCCGACATTAATACGACATCAGTCTGACAGGTACATGGGCTACAGTCCGACATTAATACGACATCAGTCTGACAGGTACATGGGCAACAGTCCGACATTAATACGACATCAGTCTGACAGGTACATGGGCTACAGTCCGACATTAATACGACATCAGTCTGACAGGTACATGGGCTACAGTCCGACATTAATACGACATCAGTCTGACAGGTACATGGGCTACAGTCCGACATTAATACGACATCAGTCTGACAGGTACATGGGCTACAGTCCGACATTAATACGACATCAGTCTGACAGGTACATGGGCTACAGTCCGACATTAATACGACATCAGTCTGACAGGTACATGGGCTACAGTCCGACATTAATACGACATCAGTCTGACAGGTACATGGGCTACAGTCCGACAAGGACAGTAGCAAGCATTCGACACAACCATCGACCGTGCCTACATAGGCCTACTGCATCCAACATAAGATAACTCTCCACTAACTCTCATTCACGCATCTTTTATACATTCACTAGCCGTCCCGGCCAGGCCCTGCTCTGGCTTCTGTGAAAAACTTTCTGTTAAAGACCATTATCTGTGTGTTTAGTAATCATCATAAACCCGGCATTGCCCACCCAAACCACAACCAACCAAAACCAAAACAACAAAACGCAAACATAACGCTAGCACAATTACAAATACAAACGAAAACAAAAACCTAACAACAATCCCAACCACAACCACAAACACCAATACAAACACAAAGAAAAAACAAACAAAAAAGCAAACGAAAACAAAAACCTAACAACAAACCCAACCACAACCACAAACACCAATACCAACACAAAAAAACAACGAAAAAGCAAACAAAAACAAACCAAATCCAAACGCAAAACCAACCAAAAACACAAATACAAACCCAAAGAAAAAAACACAAACAAAAACGAAAAAAGAAAGAACAAAAACGAACCATATCAAAACGCAACCACTAACTCAATCCCACCTCAACACAAAGAAAACACTAACGCGAACATAAACGCCCGGGGCAGAAGCACCTATTTTAGCTTAATGAACGACTATAGTACCCCAACTTATTCATAGTCTTTTGCACTCACTTAAACGAACGCGCCTGTTTCAATTTAATGAACAATTATAATGCTCCAAGCTTATCGGTAAAATACCTACAACATTTGCACTTGATCAATCCCCGCTAATTATGTAATTATTTTTTTCCCAACACCAAAACAAAGTAATAAAAATATTAAAAAGTAAATTCTTTTCCATTAATGCAATGGTTCTATAAAGGGAAGTAATTGTGTTGTCCTAATTTATCAAAGGGAACTAAACGCTATAGGACTAAATAAAGACATAATTAGAATTTTTGTAAAAGATGATATTTTTTAAAAATTGTGTTTAATGAACATGCCGACAATTATTAGTTTGAGTTTGAAAAATGAAAATTATTTCCCAACACTCTCAATGGTAATTTTTTAACTCATAAATTTAGACAAATGCGCGCGGTAATATTCTAACACTTTAATCCATGGAAGTATGTCAACGATATACATATGTATTTTTACATACAGAACTGAGCTTTATATATTAGATTGAACCTAAGGAAACAATTCACAACACTTGGGGATGGGTTGGAGGGGGGGGGGGGGGGGGGGGTAACTCACTATCGGCCAGGTGTACTAAAAATTGGCAATTAAGAAAAAAACAAACACCATTCCTCCACCACGCAAAAATTGTGGTCAAGTGTAAGCACTAAAAAACCAACAAACCAAAACTACGCAAATCAAAACACAATTGCACGAAATACTTAATTGATAGTGATAAACACAATTACTAAAAAAATGTAAGATTAAAGTTAGAAATTTAAAGATAATAGCTTTTTAAAGACATGTATATCAAAGACACCACCATTATAAACTGAGAGTTATTCTAAATATTTTGTTAATTACGTACGTTACTTTACAGACAAAACTTGGCAATTTTAAAGTAATGGGATGAATAAAAAAAACTGTCGGTAATTGAAACTTTAAAATCTAACAAGGAGATATTAAAATTCGATTACAATGTAGCCGATACATCGTAATCAGTGCAATCTCCTCAGTTGGCAAAGCGCTTTAAGATTTTAATATATCATTAATTGTCGCTGTATATTTTTTGTGTGTTCTGCCTTTCATGTCCGGGTAAAACTTTTCAATCCTAAACTTGCACTAGTCATGCCAGGACTGCACGTGTTTTGTTTTGTCCTCCCATTTTGGAGCGCCACAAACACATACTGCATGAAATATGGCAGTTCCCCAATTATTATTCGCTGTGGTATGCGTTTCTTTAGCCTTACTTCCACTTATTAGCGATTTGTATTCGTTACAAAGCTTCTCTCTACTATCTTCATCTGGTGTATACACATAGGGAATGGTACCATCAATCTGTGCCACGGCTGACATAAACTCTTTGACCTGTGACTCACGCTTTGACCCATCTCTGTTATCAAACAACACACACCTGTAGTTACACTCTTCCATCAGAGACTTCAAATCACCTGTCTGTTCTCGGCACCATTCTTGAAAAGTCTTATAATTTTCCTTATCAAAATTGTCTCCATAGGTCATGACCACAACACCGCGTTGTCTAATCACGTCTTGTCCAAAGATAGCTTTGACAATTTGTAAACTTTTCTTCTCCTGCATTGTGAACCTAACGCCAAACTTCAACACAAACACAATGGCAGTTAACAATTTATCAAACACATTGTTCATCACATAATCTACATTGTGTATTATTTTCTCAATTTTGATATCATTTAGCACCAGGTCTTCTAAAGGCTCACCAACACTCGTGCCATCTGCCAGACTGACGTTATTTTTGGGGGAGAATTTGACCTCAATTTCCCCAGAATTGTGTAAAATTTCGCTATTGTCTCCAACAATGGTTGCTATTGTTGAAGTCTTGCCCTGTCCATCCCGTCCAACAACAAAGATTTTAGCGCTGTCTGTACTTTCCATGTTAGCCTAGAATGTGAACAAGAAACACATTACACAAAGCAGATCAACTCGTTTCAGTTCAAGAGCTGTAATCGATCATATCAAACCACACATTTCATTGTATAGTATCAATATTTAAATCTAAATTGGTTATGGTAACGTCAGTGGCGTAGCGAGGTCAGGTGTCACCCGGTGCGGCACTTAATGGTGTCACCCCCCCCCCCCCAGAGGCGTAGCGACCCTTCCCGGGGACAAACTTTCAAATTTTCGATTTGCACCTCCCACCTCAAACTTTCGATTTGCACCCCCCCCCCCCTCGAACTTTTGATTTGCACCCCCCCCTCAAGTTTTTCTCTATATATTTTGCTATTTTTTGAATTGGTGTCACCCCCCTAAATGCGGTCCGCACCCCCGCCCCCCCCCCCTCGCTACGCCTCTGGGTAAATTGATGCATGGTTTGTTAAACCTGTTTTGTAAATTCTAAGAAACCCTATTGTACCTGAAGAGGTTACAACAAATTAAATTCAAGAGTAGCTTTAATGCGACAAAAAACTTTGAAAACATTTTGTCTTATAATAATTAAGCGTTCGGGGAGGGGATCACTTCCAACACCATTAGATATAAGTTTCAACCTGTTATGCGCCACTGAGGCCATTGACTCCGATTTCAGCCTGGTATTCTTTTTTGATTTGCTTCCATAGCCTTTGTCCAAACAAAAACAATAAAAAAATTGTTTTTTTTAAATTATACAATTTTCCCGGTCTAAAATAAAGCAAATAAATTACTTTAAAAAGGACCTAAATACCATAGTACAACTGGGTTTTTAACGAAATCATTTAATTCACTTTATTAGTTTGGACATTTAATATTGTGTTGTATTGACTAATAATGTATATAATGTGGATTTTTTTTTTATTTGTATTAGTAGCCTATGTTACTTTAAATGTGTGGGATTTAGTTATTTAGTTATTTCTTTGCCTTGTCACTAGTATCAATCAATGTGTTGTGACGCACATTGCCTTTTGAACAATACTATTTTGCAAAATATTTTTCTCAAACAAGTAGGCCTATAACATTATAATATATAGGCCTATAATTCACACTGCACAATAATTCTACTGCAATTTGCAAACGAATTCAGTTGTTTAATAATATCACTTTCATCATACTCAGTGTTTCTTTGTATTGCCTTTGATTACAACGAAAAATAGAATGCCTTCATAATCAACATATATCTATATGTATTATAGGTGCTTGCTGCGGGGGAAAACGTTTTCAATATTAAGTAACATTTACTATAAACTTTTAGAGTAATATTAACTTTATGATTCAAATTGTATATTTTATTAATGTAACAAAATAAGTAAAAATATAAATAGTCTTACAATATTCAGTGAATCTGATTTGCTGTGGAGGTAGCTGATCCGAACAAACGCTATGATCAAGCAAGCAAGCAAGTTAACTAAAGCAAAGACTATTGCGACTGACGCAAGCGACACAGGACCTTAGACGAGAGGGATTTACACGTGGAGAGTGAGAGCTGTGGTGTTTATGATGTGAGCTGTTTACAGATAGAATCGGGAATACACAGAATTACAGAAAATATTAACAATGTAGGCTAGGGTTAGGGCTAGGGTTAGAACTAGGGCTGGGGCTGGGGTTAGAGTTAGGTTTAGGGTTAGGTTTAGGGTTAGGGTTAGGGTTAGGTTAGGGATAGGAATAGGGTTAGAGGTTAGGGCTCTGACTAGGGCTCGGGCTAGGACTAGGGTTATGGTTGTGGCTAGGGCTGGTAATATCTTTAAATGCAGTATTCACATTAGTGTTTTGCAGTGAATCAAAATAATATGTGTTCTTGGTAGTAAAATAACTTTAAAAAGTTAGCAATAAATCGAAACTAATCCTAGACTAATTGATTTATCTCTCCTGATGTGTAACCACACATGTCTCAGACGTGTTTTTTACTCTTACAAACGTCATATTTATTTTCTTCGAAAATATTTGCTGGGTCACATGTGAGAGATCAATAAAATCGGCAACAGATGGTTGAATCAACGTTCTAGACTGCATGAGTTATCTTTCTAACACAGCTTATTATTAGTAACACCCTTGAACCTATGAACTATATTTCTAATACAGTTTTATTATAAGTAAAATCCTTGAACTTTTGAACTATCTTTCTAACACAGCTTATAATTAGTAACATCCTTTAACGTATTGACTTTCTACGAGTTTAATTATAGCCAGGGGCTGAACTACCATACACCCGCAATGTGTTTGTATGGCGGTGGGGATGGGGAGGTGCAAGTCGTTTAGAGGAGCCACAGCCAACCATAATTAGCTTGTTATTATAATTTTTGTTTTAAATTTGTATGCATTTTTGACTTGATGGTTGCTTTTTTTTCGTTGACCGGAAGTAGTAATTTCCACTATTACTCGTTTCTAAAAAAAAAAAAAGCGAAAATAAATTTATTATATGCAGCACTATTATGAATGTATAGAATACTAATAATATTCCACACTATTATACACAGAATGTTTGACGTTCACTTGGTGCGCAATAATTTTTTCTACGAGATTATATTCTAGTTTTAAAAGTTTAAGTAATTAAAAATTGATTTAAAAAATTCATAGCAAATCTTTTTAATAACAAGCTTTTATGTAATAATGCACTAAAATGTAGATAATAAATTATACACTACTAATTAAATAACTATAAAGAAATGCGTGGGTCACTTTAGTATGTATTGGATGCGTTTACTAATATATGGACAATATTTTAGATATAGAGCAGCATGGTAGGGAGGTAGAGTACACATCTACAAGCCCACAAGTCCTGACTACGTTGCACGTCCAGAGTCCATTCAGCTTTGATGGGCACTTGACATAGGTAATGGAAGGTAAAAGTGAGTTGGCTTAGAACTATCGGCATTATAATTTCTTTATATGCCGAGGTCACAGAAACAGATGAACTCTACTTTATTTTCCCAATGTTCCGACAAGTCTAAAATATGGGTATGTTAGCAATGGATATTCTATCATTGGATATTTTATTATTGGCTAATTTAGCTTTGGGTATTTTAGTATTAGATGTTTTGAATACATGTTGTATTTTACTTGTTTTGTTATGTAATGCCGATTTAATGTTGACGAATAGTGCTCGCTGTAAATATGATTGTATAATTTGCGAAATTCGTAGTTATGTGTATAATACTCGGCTGTAACTACAACATACACAGTTACAACATATCATACAAAGTGTATCGTTTTTTATGTTTTATATGGTGTATGATGTTAGTATAGTGTGATGTTAACACGGCCTTTGAGTTTGATTGCTAAATACATTGCATTTCGAATGGTTTGATAAACGGGCTGCTGCTGATGTTAACCCAAAATAATGCTTTGCAGCTGTTTCAAATAAATGTATAACACTTAATTGTTTCTAAAGTAGTCTGATATACAAAAAGAATTTCAAAATTATTTTTTGTTGGTACTGAAATCGAGTCGTAGATCGAAGCGGTAGGCTTCGGGTAGGTGATCTACATAAATGTTAGATAAAGTTTTATGATTTTAAGCTGTGGGAAAAATGTACAAATTTAAAATTGTATAATACGCGCACTATACTTGCCACGAGAAACTAATTTTCTTACTCTAGATAAAGTAATGTAGCATATTTAGTCTATACTTAGAATAAAGACATGTAACTAATATTATGTTCACTAAAAAGAAGTGTAACTAATTTTCCTACTATACATAAAGAATTGTATATATTGTTAATGTTTACTGATGATAAAGAAACATAACCAGGCTCTTGCGATCAGCGTAACTATTTGTAGATTCTTCTAGTATCAAATTGTATTTAAATCTAAAACATAAAATAAATAGACATGATTGTATTTTATCTGTTGATGACGCTGGAAATCTGAAAATCTGCTGTTTGCGTTATTTGAGAGTATATTCGTATTTCATTCATTTGTTTTGCTAAGACGAGACTGTAATAATCTAAAAAAGTCATAACACAAGGAAACATTTTAAAATTTTATTTTCTAATTCAAGAAATGCATATGGGAAAACATCTACTGTGGATGTGTTAAACTCAGAAATTCACTTCGACTAAAAACTTTATGTAAAATGTTGATTTGATTTATTTTTTTAACTAAAAAATGCACCAGCTACAGGAAAAGCAATGGGAAAAATAATTTATACAATTATTTATTAAAGGGAAATTAAAAATTTTTACATTGCAAAAAACAAGATAATATTTAACACTTATTTTTCATAAATAAAACTAAGTTTACCTATAGAGGTTAATTAAAAATGAGCAGGTATCCATTCAGATCTAACGCCAGCCCCGCCCCCCCCCCCCTCAACCCCTCCCCCTACCCCATTAAAAAAAAACCCAACAAAACTAACAAGCACAGAAACCTTGATGAGACTAAAGTAAATTCGGGCTATGCAAGGGTAATGCGGTCGGTTCAAAGCTCAGCCCTGTCTTTCCCTCAACTGCAAGATTGAGGGCTGGCAAAGCAGCAGCCTAAGGCCCCACAAAAATGGACCTTCTGTATCTTCAGGAGGTTCTATATTTTTAGAATGCCCAATATTATTAGGTGCCCGAAATAAATAAAACATACAAGGCTTATCTAGTTAGGCCAGGTGTTGAACTCGTCGATTATATTTAATCTGATGCAACGGTCAATTTGAACCTGTTACTGAATACATAAGCAGTGTTTCTTTCGATCATTTTCATACATTGAGTGGATCTAGAAAGGGAGGGGGAAGACAATAGTTAAATTATTTTTTTCTCCTTTTGCCGAGTAGGGTTTGCGGAGGACGAGTTCCAGTTACATGAAAATTAAATAAATCCTCTTTTAAATTTCATACAACTTGTCAGGTGTCACTTTAAAATGTGCAGTAATTTTTTTTTACCTCAAATCAACATTTATTATGCACTAGCCATGTATAGCTGTTTAATGTGAATTATAGGTCTACATATTCTTGATGTTATACTTGTTTGGAAAAATAATTGCGTTGAAAAATATTAGTGACAAAGCAAAGAAAAAACTAAATCTCCAAAAAATCCGACACATTTAAAATAACATAGACTACCAATACCTATTAGAAAAATTAAAATCAAATTATATACATTATTAGTTAACACAATACCATATTAAATGAATAAACTATGAGACTTAAATGATTTTGTTAAAAACCCGGCTGATCAATGGTATTTATGATGTTTTTAAAGTAATTTGTATTAATTTAGGCCGAGAAAATTGTATACATTTCGTAGCGTGCGTCTTGATAAGTATATCTATAGATCTAAATAAATTTGCACGAAAGAATCCAGTTGTTCATATTCCAAAATTGGAAGATGACGCCATAGGGTTGTCTTCTTTTCGTAGTCTAAACATGTGAAATGTGACGCCAATGTTTTTTGCGTTCTTGTAACAACAATAACACTTTACCGGTTGCATTATTTTTTCCTACTTTAAATAAAATTTAGTTTATACATTTAATACATCCACAATTTTATCTTCAATAAATGTCAGTATATTAAAGTTCTCCATGTATTGTTGAAAATACTGATCTCTTAGGCTCAGGACATGCGGGGAGACAAAGAGAGAGAAGCTCGCACAAGGGCTTTTATATATTAGGATTTCTTTTCTCTCTAATATAGAAGTTTACATTATTTTTCCATACAACACATATTTCAAATTAAATGTAAGTACTATTATCTAACATAACAAAAATAACCACGCACCAATTTATGCTGGTACAATATATATCTGTAAAATACAACGGAGAATCAATTTGGTAAGTAGAGCAGTAATACCACAACATACGACTGTATGTTCTCTCAGATAAACTTACGCTAACTGAAGTAATGCAGTCGCTTAGTTAGTACATAGCTGGGTAAGGAATCGTAAGCAATAAAAATGTGCTTGTTATCATGATAGTCTATAAGTAAGATTATAAGGGAACACGAAAAAAAAATACCATCAACAATCTATGTTCAGCTACTTTGAGATTCTTATGTATTGCACGCAAGGCACCACTATTTCATTTCAAAAGCCCATTCTATAAAACCCAATACATTAATCTAACATAACCACTACCAATAAAATATAACTTGTACTAAAATTAAATAGTCACATAAGAAAATATGTTTCAGTAAAAACAATCGCTATGTGACTAAGAATGTTTGAGTGTTGGGTTGGGGCACCAATTTTAAATATTTGGCTACCAACGCAATAACATTTTAAAACACCAAAATGTTAATCAAAACTGTTATATTGGTGCACGTGGATTGATGAGAGTGGTCATTCTCCGTGAACGGATGTAAATAAAACATGTTTAATAATAAACTTTCTTTAAAAAACATTAAAATTAGTTTGAAAGCCAACACTGGTTAAACTTAGTAATGGATTTGAAATCAACGATTTTTGAAAAGGTTTCTGTTAAACTAATATAAATAAATGAGTTATATAATTATAATGCACGAATTTTAATGTAGCAATTATAATTGATCCGCACAAAAGTTTTATTGAAGGTGGAAAAATGAAACAGAAATTGCTCGTTCTGTTTTCAAAAACATGTAATGATGGAAAAAAGGCACCATCAAATCATATTCAAAATAGAAAATGTGGATTTCAAAGGAGCACAAACATTGTTTTTACAACAAACAAAACCGATTGGTTCTCGATATTTGGTTAGATAATGTAACACAATAGTTCATGGAGCGCTACACAAATATAAGTTTCAAAAAAACAATTTCTGTGTAATGTATCGATTTCTTTTTAACGTATCGTTGAAATATTTAGTTTTAAAAAAAATAAAATGCACAAAAAATCGCTATACCAATGAATATTACAATAAGAATAACTAAAGCAGCCAGACATTTTTTAGTATCGCATTTTTCTTGCTTCTCGGTGATATGGTTTTCTTCTTCTTCACTTTTCTTATTTGCTTTCAGAATTGTGTATTCTTTAATAAGCTTTTTCCGGCTATTGCTATTTGGTGCATACTCATAAGGACGCTTATGATCAATCTGTGCCACGGCTGCCATGAACTGTTTCACCTGTGTCTCACGCTTTGACCCATCTCTGTTATCAAACAACACACACCTGTAGTTACACTCTTCCATCAGAGACTGGAAACTACTTTCCTGTTTTTGACACCATTCTTGAAATGTTTCTTGAACATTCTTATCAAAATTGTCTCCATAGGTTATGACCACAACACCGCGTCGTTTCATGACGTCCTGTCCAAAGATATCTTTGACAATTTGTAAACATTTCTTCTCCTGCATTGTGAACCTAACACCAAACTTAAACACAAACACAATGGCAGTTAACAATTTATTAAACACATTGTTCATCACATAATCTACATTGTTTATTATTTTCTCAATTTTGATATCATTTAGCACCAGGTCTTCTAAAGGCTCACCAACACCCACGCCATCTGCCAGACTGACGTTATTTTTGGGGGAGAATTTGACCTCAATTTCCCCAGAAGTTTGTAAAGTTTCGCTCTTTTCTCCAACAATGGTTGCAATAGTTGAAGTTTTGCCATTTCCATCCCGTCCAACGACAAAAATTTTAGCGCATTCTGTATTTGCCATGTTAGCCTAGAATGTAAACATTAAACATTTTAATTTACACGCTAGAATAGGTCTGGTCAATCAATAAATATTTCAATAATCAATGTTAGAATCTAAATAAGCTGTCTGAATGTGAAAGACTTATGTTTGAGGACTGGTATTTAAAGAGTTTTAATAAACACAATCGCGAATGAAGAGGTGGCTTTTCATAAAATTTATAACTGCCTGATTGTATATTAATAAAGACATTTTTTCCTTGTATCTTTGAGAGATTTTTTACTTTTGTGTAAAAATATTTGATGTATTTTGTACTAAGGTGTGCTAAATAATCTTTGAACCTGCTGCTGATATCACATTATCCTCTAATGGTAATATAAACCATTAGGCTCACAGCCATGACAAATTTTAATCAAGAAACATTTAAAAAGAACAGTTCCACAAACATTTTGTGTAGCTACACAAAATGTATTTTTACCCCTGTCTGCCTGCTGTATGTACTTAACTAAAATGTCATTGCTATTGCATGTCAAACACAGCAGTGTAGCACAGCTCCATTGTGAGCAGAAAATTTGAGCTTGGACTGTTGGGAAATTGGCCGCATGTGTGACTTTTAAAAACATAGCTATGATGAGTACATTTGAATGCCTGTACTACACACATCGAATCGGGGCTGGCTTGGAAATGTATGCATTATTTTATTTCGTCGGTGATCTATATACTGATGTTGGTTCACGTGGTATACCTACAAATAATCCGCACAACAATCCCCTAATTCAAACCATTTCACTCCCGGGTATATTAGGGTCGATAGGACAGCAACCAAATACAGGAGAAACAACTCCAAAATCAAACAACTGCTGCCTTGTAGTTTGTTGTTGAGTAGATAAAGCCCAAGGAAGCATATCCAAAAAGAACAGCAGGCTGAAATCTAACTCAACGGCCTAAATGGCGCATACAATGTTGACATGCAATACTTAATTGTTCAACATTACAATTAAGAACTAAGAAAATAAATAGAAGAAGAAGAAAAATTCTTTATCTGATAGAAATGCAAGACCCATCATTTTGGAATCTAACAACCAACAAGCGATAAGCTCCACAAAATTAAATATCTGTAGCAGCTGGTTATATCTCTGTCTAATGCAAATTTGATATCACAATCACATTTGATTCGTTATTGAACAGATCCCCTACATAGCAGCACCTAAGTAACCTACCTACATTAGATCAGTGTGATTGGTAATACTTTAAATGCGATTTCCTTCCTCTCAGATAAAAAGATGAAAGATTCAAATTCACTTTTAGAGCTGAATACTTGAGGTTGTTTCAGAGTGTGAATGGGTAGGGTGAATATTGAAGCGGTCATTTTATAATTAGATTTTGTTTTACATATGTCCATTCGAACAACACATTTATTTTTTTAATAAATGGATATGATCATATATATTTTTTTGTTCTTTGCATATTTTGTTTCTTGTATGGCAATGAACTCATTTAGTTGTTTAGTTATACAACCACCAACTGATTTAGTTGTTTGTTACATGTCAACATACTGATAGTTTCATTGTATTGACACTGATTACAACAAAAAAAGAACACCTTTACAGTTGACGTATGGTCCATACAAAAGAGGCTTTGAGCAATCGGTGGTTTTACCATCAGTAGTTAGATCACAGGGGGTTTGCACATAAATGGCAGCTTAACAAGTGATAAAAAGCTGCTTATTTATATTTTAACGTAATAATACGACTATTTACTATGTATAAAAGCAAGTATTCTAGACAACTAAAAAAAGGACAATGTGCTGTTGTGCTGGTGCAACAAATGGTCAAACAGATGTACTGACATATTAGCGTGTCATTACACATCTGTAATTTAGTTAACCATTCAAATGCTACTTTTTGGGCTAAATTATTGATTTGATTTTTAATGTATATATATATATATATATATATATATATATATATATATATATATATATATATATATATATATATATATATATATATATATATATATATATATATATATATATATATATATGTGTGTGTGTGTGTGTGTGTGCTATGTCTTTTCAAGTAGTGGCGTCTCAAAGGGGCGGGGGGTTCCAATTTTTACCCGGGGACAAACTTTCGATGTGCACCCCCCCCCCCCCCTCAAACTTTCGATTTGCACCCCCCTCATACTTTATATATATATACCGAAAGGTCTATGGGGGGTTATGACCCCCCCCCCCCTAACACCTCCCCTGCCTACGCCACTGTTTTCAAGTAGTCTACATCTACATTATTAATCTGTTAAACTATTATTTTTACTTGCCTTATTAGCATAGCACTTGCTTTATCTAAACTATAATAATAGCTACTGATTTTTTAAGTATTTGTAAATTTTTATAAATGGCGAATCAAAGGAAACGTGGCATATTACATTGTCTTCATTGTATATTGAATTTTAACTAAATAAAAATGTTTCATTAATTTTATTTTAAAAACTACAAATAGAACAACCATCGATGGACAAAACCTTCTTGGCCAAACCCCGTTGTAGTAAAATCAATAATAGTCAAAGCTTATCGGTTTTTAAATATATGTACATTAGTATAAGTAGTGCTAAATATGAAAAGTAAAGCGTTTTCAAGATTACTTAACACGTATTATAAATTTTAAATTAATTTAATGATTAAAAAGTTATATTTTAAAACTTACAAAAATTAAATAAAATATAATCAAATCTACAAGATAGTATAAAATAAAATCTTACAATATTCATCGAATCTGAACTACGGTGCACGTAGCTGATCCGAACATAAGCTGTGCTGCTGCAAGCTTGCAAGCATAGAGCAACTGACGCAAACAACACACGACTTTAATCGTGCGAAACTTATACGAGGAGTGACAGCTGTGGCCTTTACGATGTGAGTTGTGTAAAAATAGATTCGGGAATACACAGAATGACACTAAAAAATAAACTATGTAGGGCTAGGGGCTAGGTGGAAGGGCTAGAGCTAGGGCTAGGAATAGGGCTGGGGCTGGGGCTGGGCTGGGGCTAGGGCTAGGGCTAGGGCTAGGGCTAGGGCTAGGGCTAGGGCTAGGGCTAGGGCTAGGGCTAGGGCTAGGGCTAGGGCTAGGGCTAGGGCTAGGGCTAGGGCTAGGGCTAGGGCTAGGGCTAGGGCTAGGGCTAGGGCTAGGGCTAGGGCTAGGGCTAGGGCTAGGGCTAGGGCTAGGGCTAGGGCTAGGGCTAGGGCTAGGGCTAGGTCTGTGGCTAGTTATATCTTTAAATGCAGCATCCACATGAACCGTTTAAGTGTGGTGCAGTGAATCAAAATAATCGGTCTTGATTGTAAATTACTTTTAAAAGTTAACAATCAATCTAAAATAGTCGTAGATTAATTGATTTATCTCTCCTGATATGTAACCAAACATTTCTGAGACTAGCTACTTACACTTACAAACGTCATATCTATTTTCTTAGAAAATATTTTCTGGGCCACATATGAGAGATAAGAAAAAAAATCAACAACAACAGCTGGCTTGTTCAGCATTATTGATTGCATGAACTATCTTTCTAACACAGCCTATTATTAGTAACATACCTGAACAAATGCACTATTTTTCTACGATTTTAATTAAAACAAGGGGGGGGGGGGGGCAAGTCGTATAGAGGGTCCACAGTCGACCAGAGAAATGTTTGATTATAATTAAAAATGTTATTTTAATGTATTTTGGCTTGATGGTTCATTTGTAAAAACAATACTGTATCTGCAGATGGACTATCTTTAATCTATAGTCACTATATCATGTTCTTGTATATTCATTTTTCGCCCTTTGTTTTTATACCATTGTGAAAGCCGAGTTCTCTTTCTCCTAAAAAACTAACAAACGCTGTCTTTTTTGTTTGGATGTAAGTTTGAATGATTTCAAATTTTAAGATTTTTAACTCCGATGATATTGTCCTTGTTTTAGCAGATTACAAATTGTGTCAGCTTGCAAGAATCAGTAGTATAGCTTCAGATATGCGAGTTTTCTGTGGTATTTGATTTCCTCTATTGTGTGGAAAGTTTATCTGCGTTTATGTCTATGGTGCTTTTATGTGTTATGGGGGCTAGCATGATGGGTGCACTGCCAAAGGATTGGTGCCATTCTATTTTTCTTTGTATTGGTGTGTTCGCTTCATAGGTTCTTGCTCCTACACTACATCTACTAAATCCCTTTTATAAACAGGAAAACTCTCGGCCCCGACTTTGAAAGGCTTGTTATCCTTCCCAGCAACAAAAGGATCAGTTGTGTGCTGCTGGTACTCAAGTACTGATGGCGTTTTGTCCTGATACATTTTGAGCAATCTTGGTCCTGTTCTGGCACCCAAAGTGTATCCCTTTGTACTCACACGTTTGGTCTTGACTATATGATACATGTAGGTTTTTTCTTCGTTTTCGTAACAACCTGAGCCCACATTAGGGTTGCCAGTGACAAGTGACATCTTGTTGCCAAACCTGTCCTTAGCTATGCTTGTTGGGAACATCTCCTTGCTCTTGGTTGTCATGAAGGCACTATTGTTTTATCAATTATTGAGTGTTATAATTTATGCTGTATGAGTTCTAAGTAATCTTTAAAAAAGTAAACACAATCATTCTAGGACTGAGATCCAAACATTAATTATTAACTGATGATGGTTCAGAGATAACAAACGCTGTAGCCGGCAAAATTCGTTGGAAAAAAAAAAACTAAAGTCCATTGCACGAGTGGCCTTAGCTATGTAAACAACACAGGTACTTATTTTTTCTGTTTTACTTTGAAGTTTTAAAAAAAAAGGTTTTTGTTAATTACCTTTTAATACATGAGTTACATCTGCAGCACTATTACTTGATAAACTTGACAGTTTTAAAGCAGGGGTTAAAATAAAAAAGCAAATGTTTATTGTCAATCTTTGCGATAGGTAATTTTTTAAAACAAATAGTATTAATCGAAATAACAAAATGCAGCTAAAACACAATTTCCAAGAGACAAGACCTTAATGTCCAAGTAGCACACACTGATTTAATTGTCCTCTTCGTAACAAACAACACAGCAATTGGTGTCTCGTTATTTTGGTTGTTTCGTTTAAAAATATAACATCATAGTTATGGAACGATAAAGAGAACAAGATTAACAAATTAATTTATTGTCAGTCGTTTGTGTACTAACATAGGTTAAACGCGTTTTTTAATAACACCAGTACCGTACAAAACCCCAAAAATGAGCAACAACAGTACACCTATCGCACAACAGATAACCACAGCCAGCCATTGTGTTCTTTGCTTCTCGATGATATGCTTTTCCTCAACCTCTATTGCCTTTCTTGCTTTCAGAATTGTGTAATTTTTAATAAGCTTCTCCCGGCTCTCTCTATTTGGTGCATACTCAAAGGGAATCGTACCATCAATCTTTTTCACGGCTTTTATGAACTGTTTCACCTGTGACTCACGCTTTGACCCATCTCTGTTATCAAACAACACACACCTGTAGTTACACTCTTCCATCAGAGACTTCAAATCACCTGTCTGTTTTCGGCACCAATCATCAAACGTTCCTTGAACCTTCTCATCAAAATGGTCTCCATAGGTCATGACCACAACACCTCGTCGTTTCAGCACGTCGTATCCAAAGATATCCTTGACAATTTTAAAACATTTCTTCTCTTGCATTGTGAACTTAGCACCAAATTTTATCACGAGCACGAAGGCAGTTAACTTTTCTTTAAACAATTGTTTTATCACATCATCTGCATTGTTTATTATTCCCTCAATTTCGATATCATTTTCCACGAGGTATTCTAAAGGCTCACCAACACCTTTCCCATCTGCCAGCCAGATGTTATTGTTGCTGGAGAATTTTACCTGAATTGTCCCTTAAATTTCTACAGTCTCGCTACTGTCTCCAGCAATGGTGCGAACTGTAGAAGATTTGCCGTTCCCATCTCGTCCAACTACAAACAGTTTAGTGCTGTGTTTACTTGCCATGTTAGCCTAGAACGTAAACAGGAAACATAGTTACATACATTGGATACACACTACACAATCTGCGACACTACAAAAATCATCGACAACTTACTACAAAATCGAGTATGTCTAGCTGCTGGCTATACCTCTGTCTAGCACAAAGCTGCTATCACAATCACCATAGATGGTTTGATCTGGTTATCTTCCTTTTAATGTTGAATATAGTAATTACACTCTTTTATTTAATTCGCAACGTCTGTGTGTTTATTTGTTTGTGGGTTTGTGGCACATTTTGTAACTCCAGTTTGACCCACTTCTAATGGAGCGATTTCGTTCAAACTTTTCAGAAACGTTCCACTACGATGACAATACAAGTTTATCTATTTTATAATTTAGGTAGATGATTAATTAGTCATTAAAAGTTAATTAAACGGTTTCAAAACTAACGGTAAGATAACAAAATTAAAGGTTCAGAAAATTGTGAACGAAATCGCAGCGTTAGAAGTGGGTCAAAATTGAATTACAAGATTTGCAACAAATTCACAAACCAGACGATTCGAACTAAAAAGAAGCATTTAAAAAACCGCCGTTACATCTAACATTTATCTACATGTATTAGTAATGTTTCAAAATAAAATAGTATGTATTTTGAATCATTACAATAATTATAATAATATGGTTAATAAATATATTGTATCAATTTTAAAGTATAACAAATTCACAAATAGTAACGTTTTCATACAAAATTTGCTTACAATATTCAGCGAATCGAATTCCTAGTGGAAATGGCTGATCCGCACATATGCAACGCTCCAGTATGCTACTAAGGCAAGGGTTCCCAAACTGTGGGTCGCAAACCCCAGGGATGTGGCGAAGGGCTTTCTAGTGGGTCGCCAACTGGTAGACTAAACCCTAGAAATGAAAAAAAAACATTTAGAAGAATATCTGAAATTTGGCTTTACTAACAATACTGGTAATGGAATAGACAAGAAAAAATGCACACTGTGCAAAAAATTTTTCTCAGTCATGAGTCAATGAAACTTTCAAAACTAAAAAGACATTTTGAGACGAGTCGTTCAGAACGCACCAAAAATACATTTAGTTCTTTCGTCGTCATAAAGCTAGTTGCAAACTTCGGAGGCTTGATCAAACAGAAAGGAACACATCATTAGTGCAAGCATCATATATGCCAAGCAAAAAATCCTCTCATACAATAGGAGAAAATCTCATCAAACCCTTCATGTTTGGGGATTCCAGTGCAGTAAAGATGCAACAAAAATCTCTGTATAATAATATTATTCAGCATTTCATAGAAGACATCTCCGTATAAGTTATACTACAAATTTGAATGAAATCAAGCTTTCACCATTGTTTGCTTTTTGATGAATCAACAGACATGAGTTCGTACTTGCTTGTCTTTATGAATTATATTCATTCGGAAGATGGAAAAGAAGAGTTGCTATTTTGTGAAAATATCAGTTTTATCAAAGCTGCAAAATTGGCGAAGAAAATAAATCCTGGAAATATTTCCATCCGTGAAAAACTCTGCACTAGTAGATGAATCTGATTGTGAGATAAATAAAAAATTTGAAAGATAATTCTGGGCATCTTGAATCTCATAAAAACGAACGGCGGCGTTTTTTCCTTGAGTGGAAAGAAAAATCTGCATTGTCACGTTACCAATTCTCTGCTTCCATTAATGTTACCAGCATTCCCGGTGAATTGAAAGATGAATTCTTAAATTTGCGGAATGATTCCACGTCACATATTGAGTTAAATGAAAAATTGCTCACACAATGTTGGTGTATACTCGAAATTAAAATTGATTGCCTTTTTAGGTTTTCGTTCCTTTTGTGTTTATATATCTTTAGCGAGAATAGATTTTAACACCTCTCCAAAT